GACAGGATCCGCCCCTGACAAAGTAAATGTTTTTTTAGATTTAATTTACAATGCATTATATTATAAAGTATATTTAAAAAAATGTATTTTATAAAGAATGAAAAGACAAGTATTGATTGTTAGGGGCCTTGACATCAAACAATTATTAAACCATGAGTGACTGGTAGTCAATAAAATATTATCTTATTTTGCATTTTTCAATGTTTGTGATTAACTTGTATCTGTCAGTACAGTGGAAGCCTAAGGGATTCAAGAAGTAATATACTGTGATTATTATTATGTTTTAATGTCTGCACTGGCCACACCATTAATAATGTCTAATTCCCTTCAGACACATCAAATACAATATGTAGGTAGTTGTGTATTAATACAGGATTTTAGTGTTTATTTTTGTGAACATTTAATAAACATATTTTACTGTCAGTGGTGGTGTCATCAGGGGTTCAGGCAGGGGAAGTTTTCCCATGTAGATAAGCAAGGAACCCCTGCTGGACTTGTTGGACCCTTATATGCTAATTTCAGAGCCATCACTACTTCAGAGACTTCATATTAATAGTTGACATAATCACATTTCAGTTTATTTTTGCGAACCAAAGAAAAGGAAAAAAAAAAAAACATGTACAGTAGGTATTTATTTTATTGAATAAATATACTGTACATGGCTATACAACTCTGGATGGCTAGAAGGTAATGTACCAAATAGACACATTCCGCTAGGTTGGTCAGTGACATATATTTGGTGTATCAATTGTAAACAGGCAGTGCAAGCAAGGGATCACCTAAATTTAAAAGCATCCAAAAACCATAGAGAATGTCAATAATTTCCAGTATATGGTTCACTATCTTATTTAAGAACACTAGAGAGTTTAATCAACCCACTGCTGGGGGACTGATAGCCACCAATGTCTCCATGGGGTCCAGGGACCTTGTGGGGTAGTGATATCTTCTATAAATTTTCATGAGCCGATATTGAATTTAAAGAATGAAAATTTTAGGACTAGATACTGATTCAATTTTTTCAGAAATTCATCCTACTAGTATTTATTTGCTAGGCCGATAGTTGGAGTAAGAAGCACTTAATAGGTAATAAGTTAATTAATATTACTAATCGTAATTGGAAGCTTTGTAACTATTTCAGCTTTTTAAAAAAATAATCAAGAAATTTGGTGGTACATGTACGTGATCATCGGCAAAATTATGAATGACGACCAAACGAGGACAACGGTATAGGCCCAAAAGAGTTGAAAATTAGAGAATTACAAAACGAATTCGTCACTTTTCATGTTTGTTGACGTTTTTAGCTTGTAGGCCTAGGACATGAACAAGAGGAAAAATCTTTTTTGAAAGTTCGCGCCTAATACGATCTAGTCTTTGCAGTGATTGACCTGGAGGTCACAGTTCACCTGATAATCGCTTTTTTGTGTTGCAGCTAAAAGGTGCACAGCCAAAATCGGTTATTTGCCGTTCAAACATGCTATCCATTGCGTGTTTTTAATCAATTTATTTTTATCGCATTTTTCAAACTGGTCCCGTTTCTACTGCGAGAATAAAAGCGATTTTTCGAAAAAGCTATTTTTAATCAGTTATTTCTTTCCAGTAGAAACAGGCCCTGAGTCTTTCGATCACAAGGGCGTGAAAAAGCCTCCAGAGCAAAACTGTTGTGCCAAAATATAGACTTTTGAAAGGGAGATTTCTGGGCATAGGGTTCAGGGGCCTGTCTAAGGGCTCCAGTAGTGTCCAAGGGCAAAGCTCCTGTGGGAGAGGCAAAGCCCCTGAAACCAAAGCATTTTATTATGTTATACTGGGTTTTAGTAATGCTAAAAACAATTACATTACATTTCAGAAGGTGAAGACAAAATATCATTATTTTATTTGTATACGCTGAAGTGTCAGAAATTGATTCCTCTCTTCTTACCTTGAGTGTGAGTGGGAGGGGGTTCATTATCAATGATTGAACTGAAATAAGGGTTTGTCTGAGCCATGACCCCCTTCCTCCAGCAATTACAGAAATTAATAGAAATCAGTAATTAACAGTACAATTGGAACCAATAATTTAAAAGTGAATTACTGTTTTGTTGAAATTAGATAAAAGTATTACAGTAATAACATTTAAAAGGCAGTATAAAAATTAGTGATTTAATATTTAAGAGAGTTTTAAAAATGTATTAACAGGATCAAAAGTAGGTTGCTTGGGATAGAAAAATACTGAAATCGACATTTCCTTCCGGGATCTTTAGTGGCTGATGACTTGATTCTTCCAGGATCCAGCTACTCTGATGTTGATGACTAATATTTTCCATGATATTTAACGTGAGAGAGGCCTAACAGTACTTCTAATCTTTTCAGTAAAAACAACTATTTATCAGTCTGTTTACATTCATACTTGCTAAATATGGAGCTGACTTGTTGCGTCAATAGCAACTGTCATGTGATTCACCTATTTAATTCATGTGTCAGGCTATACTAACAAAAGGACTCTAAACACGCTTTTTTGATAGTGGGGAACAACAAACTCTTAAAGAACATTATTGCACAGTTGGTAACCAGTGGTAACAATAACACTGGAGAAGGTAAACTCTGCCTTTTGCTACCCAGAATAATTTTTTTTAATAGTATCCTGGTAGGATGCAGATGCATGTTGAATGTCAATGTAATGAATATTCATGATTGCATACAGTTAGGAGTTTTAAATCCCCAAGTACAGTACAGCGGAGAAGATATTGTTTCTAATGACTGTGTAATAATGGAAAGACACTGAGATTGTTTTTCTTGTAGAAAGTATCATGTAAATGAAAAAACATTGACATGTTCATAATGAATTAATAATGCGTAAGTCTATCACCATTATTATTATTATTATTATTATTATTATTATTATTATTATTATTATTATTATTATTATTATTATTATTATTGTTATTATTATTATTATTATATATTAAATTAATAATCGATGATCCCTCTATACCTTCACCATTTTGAAGAGCTTGTTCTAATTTTCATTTTTATTATTTTAAAATGTTATTATGTTTTTATTTGCTCTTTTTTGAAGTCCATTAAGATGGTCATTTCACTCAAAAAAAGTGTCATCAGAAGTATACTGTTTAAATTTAATGATTTCTAAGAATAATAATTAACTGAACACTGTCTTTTCTAGAGACCTCAGAGAGAAGATATGACCCATTTTTGCTCATCATTACTTAGTAATAGTATGCTTTCGGTTAAACACCTCAACTAATTTAATTTTAATGTGCACAGCACAGGAAGGTTGATAGGCTGTTGGCTGATGCCGAGTGATATTTATTATTTTATTCAGTATGATATTTGTTTGATTTTTGAACAGTTTTTTAAGTACTTGTAGTCCATAGTATTTACCAGTATCAGTGCACGCTGTAACCTCTGACGTTTATCTCAACGCAGTGTGTTTTCTTGTTGCACTGCTGCAACTAATCTGTTGTTCTTCTTATTCAAATTACAACTTCACGGTTGAGTGAGTTGCCTTTGTTGTGGATTAAATTAAATTGCCATGTTGAGTTACAGCCTCTGGTAATTGTTACATACCTAATAGCGCATGCCACTTTGCTGTGTGTTGTTGTAGTTGTAAATCTCGAGGTCCATATTATAGGAACCACTTTTATTTTACGAGGCATATAGATACACAATGGAAATGGACAAAACTGACTTCAGTAGGAGTGAAATGTTGACAGTTGATCGTACGGGAATCATTGGTGGTAAGAGAATCATACTGTAGCTTACTGACTGTGCCCTGTGGGGTATCCACTGTTTAGCTCTCACCATTGAGGAATTTAGTTAATAATAGTGTTACTCGTCCATGTTTTTACTTTATTTTAAATCTAATATAATGTATGCGGCTTAACAATATTGTGAGTAATTCTGATACTTGTCCTTGGAGAAAATGATTATATTTTTAGAACAACCTTTAGATAGCATGCACAATGAATTAAACATTTTTTTTTTCTGTAGTAGTAGTAGGCATGTACCGATAATATTCCAATACAATAACATCATACAGTAGGTGTATACACATTATGCCAGTGAGTGAGCATGCAAATTAGGAAGGATTTAAGGTTGTCAGTTGACCCTCTGACTGCTAGTGCTGTGGTCGAATAGGTTTTAAAAAACGCCAAACGATACCTTCACGGACTACGCCTTGCTCTAGCCATCATGTTTTTTCCTGTTGCAGTCCAGTAGGACTATTTTAATACATAAAAATCATTGAGTGTACATTATGTTGAGCGCCAGTGATTTTATGCAAATTACGAAGAAAATAAGGTTTGCCAATTGACCCACTGACTGCTATGGTAAAAAATATTTTTAAAACGTTAAACAATACTTCACTGACTGCGTTTGCGCTACCCATCATATTTTTTGCTGTTAAGGTGCAGTATGTACTATTTCAATACAAACAAAAACATCGAATGTATGCACATTATGTTGAGTGCCGGATGAGATGCAAATTAGGAAGGAAATAAGGTTGGCAAATGACCTACTGACTGCTGTGATAAAAAAAGGTTTTAAAAAACATTAACATTTAACTCACTGCTATGCCTTGCTTTAATCATCAAGTGTATATTTATGGTAAAGCATTATAAACATGTTTCTGCAAATCACAAAGTCCTACCATACAGTACCCTTAATGGTAGTGAATGTTTGTAACAATGTATTATTACCAGTCCAGTATTCAACCCGCACCCCAAATCCGGCCTGCCACTGATTTTTAATCGGCCTGCGATATTGCTAAGGGGTAAATAATTTCTCCATCCCAAAATTTGGTTGATTTTCATTCGAGAATGTTAAAAGCTTTGAGATGAAGATGACTGTCCCGGGTAGATAATTCGCATAATATCAGATCCGGGAGATAATAAGAGTGTCCTTGTAACAGAGGCTGAGATGTATTGTAACTCCAGTAATAGTGAGTTACTGACATGGAAGGAGGTAGGGGATTGAGAGTTAAGTAAGTGGCACTAGCTTGAAAGTACAACGATATGAGCTGATTTAACTAAGCCTCTGAAATGATTTTTTTTTTACTTTGCAAACCTGAGCTGAAAGCTTTTTTTTGGGGCCAAAATTGTCCTGCTTTTTGACAAATATTTGAATGATTTTATTGACCAAGTTCATCACCTAGACTGATTTCCAAGTTAATATTCATTTTGAATGCAATGATTCCAAAATGTAGCAATTCACTGTAGTATGAGATGAAATATAAATTGTGTTTCAACTCAACTCATATATTTTACCACAAATAAACAAAGATACAAAAGTGAAATAATACAGGTGAATATTGAAAGATGAATACAACGTATATAACCTGTCTCTTATACACATCTAGATGTGTATAAGAGACAGGTACCCTTAATGGTAGTGAATGTTTGTAACAATGTATTATTACCAGTCCAGTATTCAACCCGCACCCCAAATCCGGCCTGCCACTGATTTTTAATCGGCCTGCGATATTGCTAAGGGGTAAATAATTTCTCCATCCCAAAATTTGGTTGATTTTCATTCGAGAATGTTAAAAGCTTTAAGATGAAGATGACAGTCCCGGGTAGATAATTCGCATAATATCAGATCCGGGAGATAATAAGAGTGTCCTTGTAACAGAGGCTGAGATGTATTGTAACTCCAGTATTTTAGTGAGTTACTGACATGGAAGGAGGTAGGGGATTGAGAGTTAAGTACGGGGCACTAGCTTGAAAGTACAATGATATGAGCTGATTTAACTAAGCCTCTGAAATGATTTTTTTTTTTACTTTGCAAACCTGAGCTGAAAGCTTTTTTTGGGGGGTGAGAGAGGTGGGCACACACCCTTACTACTTACTATACACAACTGTAAAACTGCAATTTTTTTCCAAGACAAAGCCTGTCATTAATGCCAAAAAGTAGCAATCTTATTTATGTTTGGCCTGTAGGTTTGTAAAATAAGAGGATGAATTGTCTAAAAGGGAATGGACGTAATTCAGAAACTTTGTACAAATTTGTGTAGACCACCACTGGGCCAAGCAGTTCACGATTACTGTCAACAGTGGTTACCTACTACTGTATATGTACAGTCATGTTAAATGTTATGTATTTATACCCTGCAAAATACAAGATGTATTTTGGAAAAGTAAGGAAGGAAGCCAGCAACCAAACTGCAGTATGGTACGCCCTAGTTGCTGACCAGGGGTCTGTCAAAATGTACCCTGCCCAGCACCAATTGATTCTCGTTTTTTCCAGGGCCGAGAATTGGCAAATAATTCCATAATTTAGGCGCAGCAACTATGAATTAACGCACCCCACACGACTAACCTTCCAGGTAGATAGTCGTGTACAATAAATTGAGCAATGACTATGAAATACTCATGCCTCTTATGTAGTGATATTATGTAATTTCAAAATGTTGAAGTGAAGATGCATCACTGAAAGGTCATCTGAAGATTTTAATAATGAAGGTAAATAATGCCAAATTAAACTGTGTCAAGATAACATGGTTGACTTTGTTGGATCAGGTCACTGATTGAAGTAGTGAACAGGGTATGATTTGTTTGCCGTTCTTTCTTTACTGTCGCACCTGAATGAAAACTCATTCTCTCTGACATGGTGCATTGAGTAAACCTGTGCGTTGGACTAGAGTGGCTTTGATATGGAAATGACCCAAGTGAGAAAGTTTGTTGACAAAGGAAGGAGGTAGAATTTCAAACAAAATTGTGAAATTGTTTAGTTTCTCAAGTGAAGCTCAGTTTCCAAATGTCCCCCTATTGTCAGGATTATTTTTGCTTCCCTGCATATTCCTACTGTCTCACCAAATTCCAAAATTGTCCTGCTTTTTGACAAATATTTGAATGATTTTATTGACCAAGTTCATCACCTAGACTGATTTCCAAGTTAATATTCATTTTGAATGCAAATGATTCCAAAATGTAGCAATTCACTGTAGTATGAGATGAAATATAAATTGTGTTTCAACTCAACTCATATATTTTACCACAAATAAACAAAGATACAAAAGTGAAATAATACAGGTGAATATTGAAAGATGAATACAACGTATATAACATTCTAAGTGAAAGTGGAAAAAAGGGGCTAAATGCTGAATTTAAAAAATTGATTTCCAGTTCAGTGTTTTTAATAATTAATTATTTTGATGTGATTTTTTTTATTAAAGATTTTTATATTCGAACATGAAGTGAGTCTCACATTTTGGTGATATGGCAATAAAGTATGTTTCTATTAATAGTACTGTAGTAATAATTCAAAATAAATAAATTAATGAAGTATAAAGTTGATTAAAATTATAAGGAACATTAATTAATTTTGTATAGACTTAACCTAAAATACTCTCCTTCATCCAGCTGACACTTCATCTACGAAAGCACTCTGCGCCGAAGACTTCAATATGAAGTTTCCGTGAATTCCAGAAGAAATATATGGCTTGAGTATAGTATACTTTTTCATGCCATAATTGATTCCTTTATTTGACTTGAAATGATTAATAATATATTTTTTTTTAGCTGGTACCCCGGAAGGAGGTGTTGGGATTTGCGGATGGATTTTGACGGCTATTGCATGGCTCCTTGTCATATGTACTCTGCCATTCTCCCTCTGTGTCTGTATCAAGGTAAGCTGAAAAAAAAACTTTAGTAATCCATCACTTAATATATATGGGCCATTCCATATCAAATCAACCAGGTATAAACCTCATTTCAGAAAATACTTTAAATATCACAAATATTAATATAGATTTACTTGATTTTGTTTGTTGCTTGACAAAATTATGTAATACTGTGTAGGATTAGAAATTATAATATTATGCTTTCAGTCAGCTACTAATTGATACAATATAATGTACATTAATAAAAAATCATCTTGGTTTATAATTATTAATTAAAATGAAATTGTGCATTTTATGAACTGATCATTGGTTTTATTTAAAAAAGAACTACGATATGCGTATATTTTATACAGATGAATGACTTGTCAACCGAGTTGATAATGTATAATATGAATCAATTTCAGTACAAGACTTTGTAAAAGTATATTATCATTTTGTAGGTTGTGCAAGAGTATGAGCGAGCCGTCATATTTAGACTTGGTCGTCTCTTACCTGGAGGTGCCAAAGGACCTGGTAAGCACATGTCATTCACTTAGCAGTTAGATTTTATTTAATAGCCTACAATATTGCTTACAAATCCCCCAATGGCAGTCCTTCGTTTCTTCGTTTCATCGGGCGTGTCATATGTGTTTCTCATATCCTCAATACTAGGAATTTCGTGAACTGATTTCTGGCTATGTTTCTACTGGGAAATAACTATAACTAAGTGATACTTTGTTAATTAACTTATCTCATGTTATTTCAATAAAACGACCTGTCTCTACTGAACATTAATTGTTTTCATTCGAGTGGTCACTGCATTTTTGCTTACTAAATGTCACCATTTCCCAAAAGGCCATTTGATCATCAGATTATAAATTGCATCAACAGTCCATGTGTTATAATAATATTTAAATGTGCATAGACACCTTTCTGCCACGATACTCTATATGCAATAGTAAAACTGGTTTAATATTTATTTAAAAAACATACAGTATGGAAGACTTGAATTCTAACAGTAACATTCATGTGACACAGAGTACAGTACTCTTTACAAGATAAAACTTGAGTGCTTTTCTGCTGATTGTGTTTTTGTTTGTTTGAATAAATAAGTTGAAAGGGTAGGGCCTTTTGCAATCATGTTCATACATGACAGCAGTACAATGCAAATAGATTGAATGATTGATCGATTAAAGTTGGAATTGGATTTTCATAATGATAGCATGTTTATTATTGGATGGTTGATGACCCAAATCATTTTGTGGACAAACATAATGAGCTTGCAATTGCTCCATTTCGCAAGGGATTTGTTACCATGCATCGCCACCACTTTATACAGAGATGATGGGATTAACCAGACTCCTGCCTCATTTTGCAGGCTAAAGCACAATCCTTTTAGTTCCATATGGATTTGAAGGCAACAGAAACTTTCAAGGTTTACGCAATTTGTCAGAATCAGATTCTACCTGATTTCTGTGAATTCCTAGGATTAGGTATTTAAATGACATGCAATTACATGTAAATTAAATGTGTTCTAGGTTGCAACTGCCTGGAGCATATGGTAATATCAAATCAGAAATGTGTCTGTAAAAATGCTAAATGAGTGTCCTTTGTTTCCAGTAAGATCATGAGACAGGCTCTGATTTCATGAAAATGAAAGATTTGCCTTTTTTAATAAACAGTTGATGCTATTTTATTTGAAATGGTAATGCTAAGCTTTTTCCACTCTAGCTTCTTCTGAATAATATTATTTTTATCAAGAAATTTAATTTGAGAATGAAATTGTAAAACTAGAGAATGTGGCACTGCCACACAATGCCAAGACTTACGATGAGGGGCTACATTTATTTATGAATACAGGACTAAAAGAAAAGTTTTGATTTGCCAAATGTGAGTTCTCACCACGAAATGAGACGCATCGTTGGTGAAATCATATTGAGATATTCACCAAAACAGGCCAAAGTCAACATTTTTACAAAATTTTGATTTTAATGTGTTTGAATAACTTGATACTTATATTTTATCATGTTATACTTTGTAATTGAATTTTCTTGCCAAAACAGTGTTCTCTGCACATATTCTGTAATTGTAGTCATATTATTTGTACAGGTTAGTTTATCTTTGAGGCTGATTTTCTCAAAACGTGGTTCTTATAGACCTAAACTTTAAATGCTCACATCTCTGGACTTACTTATAGTAGGGAAGCCATTCAAAGACCAAATGAAAGCTTATAATGTGATCTACCCAAATATAATATAAACTCAATTTTTGAATTTCTGACCATGAGACTCATTTTGTGGCGAGACCTCACAAATGCTCTGCCAATGAGTTGAACCATCCTACTGTACTGGAGTTGGCAGTGGTTGTTACCAGCATGGGAGTTTCTTTGCTGAAAGGGACGGCACAAGACCTTATTAGCCTGCAACATATCATTGATAGCCCCACTTAACCTGTGAACAAAGCAGTACAGAAGCAGAAATCATTAAATTAAAAAATAAGTTTTGTCCTCTTTGTGCTAATTTAAATAGAAATTGAAATTTTCAGCTGCGCCCCTCGGTTTCTGCAGCCATTTATTTCTCATTTTATTACAGTGATTATTCTCTGTCTGCAGACCCCATAGGTGGGAGATTCCAGGGGTTGGGGATTTGTCAGGTGTCGTCTGCTACAAATTTACTCTTAAAGGTATTGTCCCACAAAATGGACAGGACGTGCATGTTGGGGCACCCCAAAAATTCTCCCAGCAATGCTAGCACCAATAGAGTGTACTTTCTAATTGGATTTTTGACCACTACTACTAGTTCTAAATCACAAAATTGATTAGGGAACATGTAGTACAACCTGATGCATTGTTGTTTTAATTAAACCCCTAAGTAGGAAGTCATGCCACACCTTGATCAGAAATGATCATTTGTGTTTTCTTGAATTTTTAGTTGATTTCCTTTTTAATATTTATTATGCATATTACTCTGCAATACTCTTGACCTGGTATTATAATCAGAGTACATGTGTATAATTGATTGCGGAAAGTCTATGATGTATATTTCAGATAAACTTCCATCCAAGATTTATTAATATTAAAGAGGTTTGAATAAAAGATAAAGTGCAGTAAATCAAAGCTTGGTGTTACTAACCGTAAAGATGAAATGAAACAATATTTGGGAAGAGTTGAGGCAGAAAGAATAACACTGTAAAGTAAAGCAGCTGGAGCCCTGAAGCACTTACGGTAATGTGCAGATAGAATATAGCACATTACATATTTTAACTGGTCCCCAGAAATTATGATCAGAACTTAAGTACACTTATAAACGTCTGTTCCGTGTGATAATGGTTTATGTCAGAACAATAAATTTGCTAGATATATTAATTTTCATTTCTAGACATCTATTTTGTGACGTTTATATGAGATATGAGAAAAATGTTATTGTCAATATCGTATAAAAATGAATTACAGTCATCTATTAGTTCCTTGGTACATCAGTTACCTTACCATATTTTAAATGTATCAGGCTGACTTTATGAAAATGTCATTGAGGCCCCTTTACAGACTTATTATCTAACAAATATGAAACACAAATATTCATATTTTCTGTAGGCCTTAAGCTCTCTCCACACTATCAATTTTATTTGACAAAAAATGTGATATGCCCCATATTTGTGTGTAATATGCATCATCATTCCCATACATAGGCATATCACACAAATTTGTCACATAGAATTTGATAGTGTGGACAGAGTTTAAGCTCTGTTCACACTATTAATTTTTATGTGACTATTTTATGTGGCAAAAAAATGTGATATGGCCATATTTGTGTGTAATACTGTATGACATCATCATGCCCATATATAGGCATATCACACAAATTTGTCACATAGAATTTGATAGTGTGGACAGAGTTTAAGCACTGTTCACACTATTAATTTTTATGTGGCAAAAAAATGTGATATGGCCATATTTGTGTGTAATACTGTATGAATCATCATGCCCATATATAGGCATATCACACAAATTTGTCACATGGAATTTGATAGTGTGGATAGAGTTTAAGCTCTATTCAGACTATTAATTTTTATGTGACAATTTTATGTGGCCTCATATTGTACTGTAATGTATGCCACAAAATGTTTATTTTTTACAATTATTCTTAAATACTCTATTTAAATTTTACAATAAGGTGGAGGTAAAGGAAGGAGAATAACCCATAACTTGCAGCATCATTGTGCTGAATTGCGTATGGGCGTGGTCCATGACCACCTAGCAGCCGTAAAGAGGCGCTTCATAGTAGCTACATGTTCACATTGTTCTGCAGTGGTAGAAATGAACCATAACACTGTAACCGTAACCCCCTACTCTTTAGAATGATGCAATGAGTTCTTTAAAGTGCACACGAGCCAGATGTATACACTGGGCCTCCATTTTAAGTCTTTATCCGAGAAGACTTGGTTCTACCAACCGAACCATGGGGAGGAGCAGCTGGAACCAGCGCCGATGTTGAGGCTGTAGCTAGTGGCGCCTCTGCCTTATCGCTCGGCCACTCGACTCACAGAAGCATAGGACATGGGTACAATTAAATATATCAAACTCACAACATCCAGAGAATTAGCCTGGTATCATCTAGGGCAAAACATCATTCATATTAATCTCCTGATGCAAACCCCATCAGAATAGTACAGTATCATAGTATTATGTATTTATTATAATTAAGAAATAATATTTCACAAATGTATTACTAATGATTTATTTGTCAAAATATTCTTAATACCTCCATTTGAATAAAGAAAATGTATTTCTTTAAATGTTAGGTGAAATCTTCATAACCCTCACAAATTCAATTTTTAAGCTGTAAATTGCTCATTTATGATCGAGTAAGTTATGAACTTTTTATGTGGTTCAAAAGCTCTATTTCCCACTGATTTACAGATTTCTTAGTACAAAAATCCATAAATATAATTATTATCAGCCAATGTAAGGTATTTCATAATATGAAGGATAGGGAGCATATCTTGTTCGAGCTTTCGCCCCATTCCCTATCCAGGCAATACATGTTATTTTAATTCTGTATACTTTTGCCAAATAAATATTATTCAGATAAGGGAAACAGCAATGCATCTGTTGGCAAGCGTAATTTCTCATTATACCTTGCTTACAAAAATATAAAGTTAGCAAATTTATTATGAGTTTAGTTGAATTTTGCAAGATCACCATATTAGCAACATAGAGTAGTATCAGTACTACAATACAGTATGTCATAATGTTTTTCTTTTTGTGCACAATAAATGCTATTTTTTTTTAGTTTTGCTCACGACAAAGAATTAGAAGCATTATAAAGATATTCAGGGCCATCCACATACTTATACAGTTTATTTTAGGGTAGAAGCTATAAACTAGGATTACTAAAACACATTTATATACAGATAAAATATATAAACACTATAAAACATGTATAATCAATAATGAGATACATAATATGATAGTTGTAATCGTCACAAGGCAATTAAACATGGATTGTTTATAGTATAAATATGGTAATAATATAAAATTCAATATTAGATTGATCTGTCATGTGCAAGCAAGTACAGGTACATTAGATTTGTTTCCTTAGTCTTAAGAATAAATAAAAATACACTGACAATAAATACAGAAAAGTTTGCACAATAAATAACGATTATAATTCAAAAAAAGAGCAAAACATAAAATACAGTACAACAGTAAATTAGATTGAGTTATTTCCAAAACGTCACAGCAAAATAAAAAAAGAAGAGCTTGAAATGAAGAGAACAAATTAATGCATAACAAAAGCTACAACATAAGTACTGTGCGACAGTTCCAATAGCACCATGGAAATTATAGTGAACAAAGATTCATTATGATTATCCAAGATTATGCATTCAATGATTGATGAGCTACCCTCTAAGCTGTTCTCTGATTGGTTGTATGTTACAACAGGATGATGGTATTGCAGTGTAGTGAAAGTACTCCTTTGCACCACTGCAGAACCTATTGATTTTCAATACATCAATATTTGGGACATTGATGACAATGTTTTTATCAAGTGGTGGTTTGTTTTGTATTTGAAAAACATTCCCATACTGATATAAAGATTATACTTTAACTGTTGGCCCAAAAAAAACCAAAAAAAAACTGCTTGGCTCTGCCTTGGCACATGGTTGTAGTTAGGATTTGTGGTTGTAGTAAGCATTGCTACTTTCCTTATACTAAAACATTTGCATATAAATGTGTTCAAATTGTATGGATTAATGTACCTTTGTGTTGAAATAATAAACTTAATAGTATATTCAATAGAATTGCTTTCTTTATTTAGGCCTATTATTTATTATTACTATAGTTATGTTAATAAATTACTTATTTACATCCTGTATCTTAATTATTGCATTTTGTAATTTTTTATTCTTTCAAGTTTTCCCACTCCATTGATTTCAGAATTGCCTGTATGCTATGCAATTGTATAATATTGTCTGTCGTATAGCACATATTGCCAATATTCATCTAGGCACTGCACATTATTCCCATGGCCATTGAAATATATAGAACACATTTTCGGTTCCCTGGGGACATATTCCGTTAGGTTGTAGAGTAATCAGTACATTTGCATTTAAATCAACCAAGTATCAACTATTTTTGTGTAGAGAGAGAGAGAGAGAGAGAGAGAGGTATTAAACGTGGATTAGATTGGATTTGCCTTGACTAAGGACACAAGATCATGACTAAAGAATATTGGAACCAACTCATGACTTTGAATTAAAGTTGAGAGAACAAATTAGAACCTTTCTGCTAACTCCTACCAGTCTCATGTAATTTTGTACCCTTTTCTAATGGTAATTCATGTGCATATTATACTATAGGCTGCAGTTGAGTTACTACATTCACGTCATATGAGTGCCCAGTGGGACAAATTTTATAGTAATATTTGAAGTTTGAATTTAGTAAATACTTTTGCTGGTGCAATTGTGGTAAACATGTATGATTATTTGCCTTTTGTAGTTAAGCTGAAAACGATCAGGTGTAAATGAATAGAAAATCTTTTTCCTTTATACTGTCTATCTCAGTTTCAATAATAACATAATAAATAATAAGTATAGGACTTTTGTATCAATACCAGGAATGCCCATTTTTGTATAGTGTATTTATTTTCATGTGTTAATTGACATGTCGACAAGGACGCGAAGCCCCGCCCACAAAGTCACGAAAACCTTAGACAATGGCGGCTAGACTTACCGAGTTGGTGAAGATTTTCCTTGCTATCAACCTTCTTTAAGAAAGAGAATTCAGGGTAGGCGGTATGCAAATGAATCATATATTCATAGTGTTAATCTATTTCATGGAACATGGCGGGGAACTTGTTGTTAAAGCCGCTCCCAGAGGAAGAGGGAAAAGCCGCATTCAATCAGCCTTGTTGTCGGCAAATGCCAAGTCACTGATGCGCACTGCTCGTGTAAATCTGGGTATCTATAACCAAGCATAGACATCTAGGCCTAGGCTCACGTATGTTTCGCGTACCAACTGTCTAAGGAAATTAAAATGTCCGAGATAAAGTTTTTGATCACGTGACTAAATGACGCTCGCTGATTAGTCGGTATATTTCTGTCCATCAAATCTCATTGAGATGTTAATTCTAGCTTATGATGATGTACGTTCATGTCATACATATTGCTATGTAAATACATTACAAGTAAATGACATTACATAAATATATTTTGTTACATTTACATTTTAAAATGTTTGTTTTTTTTGTTTTTTTTTCCAGGTATTTTCTTCATTCTTCCATGTATTGAGGACTACACAAAGGTTGATTTGAGAACCGTGTCATTTGATGTTCCACCACAGGAAGTAAGTCTTATCTTTCAATTGATTTATGTAATTAATATATTTATTTATGCAAGTAATTAATTAATTTCTTGATTGATGTAGGCATTTCATAAATGCATTGCTTGAGTTATGCCAGTATTGCACTAAGTCATTTCTTGATTTAATGCTGGTAATTAATTATGTTAGAGTTTCTTAACTGCATGCAAGTGATTAATTAATTATTTAATTCATATAATAAAAGGAATTAATCAATTTCTTAGTTTATTATGCAAGCCAGCCAGCAATACTTTATCACTGAACATGCTTTTAATACACTAGATTCAAATACAGGTGCCTGGAAATAGTTTCCCATCCATCTATTGATGTAAAATTAATTTATGTGTTTGCATTGCAAGATCATAACATATCGGAAAAGTTTGATATATCATTTGACAAATTTTGCAAAGGATATTTACAAAAATTGCTAGAAGGAAAGGTCTGATATAAAGTATACTCAATCACTATTTTAGACTATAGAATTGCTGACACATTTTAATTATGTTTCTTATATTGCTGCTTTGTTTAATTTTATTTTGGATGCATCTGGATATCTTGAGTGTTACTGAAAGGGTCAATTACAATATTGGTATCATGTGTTTTTATGTGTGGTATTCATTACAGGCATCATCTGAAAGGTCATATGCTATACCAATACCCATTTAATGCTTTCATACTCTAGACACATATTATTTACGAGTCCATTATGCAATGTTCAACAAATAGTATATTTTTTTTTGTTTATAGTATTACACTGATAGCTCGCATAATTAGATCCTTAAGAACATAAAACCCCATGAAGTGTCAGGATGATCGCATTAAGATTTAAAAGCTGATCAGAAGGCAGGGTACCCTGTTAAGATTACAACAGCTGCAGTTCCCCATCTTACAAAATGATATGCAGTTTTTGATGAGGCAGCCGCATGCAGAGAGTAAGCACACAGCTACTTAATATTCAAGTCGTGCTCACCTCTTCTGCTTTGTATGCCAAGCATTATTTGCTTTAAGGTGAACGTATTTGAATGATTAATAAGGAGAAAATGTGAATTTCATAGCAAAGTAAGAGACTAATTATCATCGAGAGGAATAATTGCAATCAAGTCTTTCTGTAATACAGCATGCCCAAATAGAGATTTACTGGCCAATTCTCATCAGCGTTTGACTCAAGTTTACTCTTTTGTTTTTATGCAATATTATGGCTTTAATGTTCTTTAGTTTGATTAAAATTACCTTAATATTTTAATTTAATCTGCTTTTAATAATATCAGTAATATCAGTTTGCTACCACATAAAAGATCAGGATATTATCAAATAGAAAATTTAAATATCAAGATGAATAACAATCTTTAATAAAAAAAATAATTTATCAACTGGCGGAAAATAAATTGGTTAGTTAAGATTGATCTGTAGATATAATACATCTTCATTTAAGTTTTTGGGCTAACTTCGAAATTGATGGTTTTGACCCATTTCCGCAAATATGCTTATTAACAGTTTGTGCAATTTAAAAAAAAATGAAAATCTAAATGTATTTGTATTTTCCTCTTTTTTTTTTTTTAAATAGAAATTTTTAGATTAAAACTAATGTACTATCCACTTAAATTTTCATTTACACAACTTTTTAAGGTTTACAAAATTAATAGTAATGTACCTATAGGCTATACTTTGTTTATAAGGTTTTGATACATTGTAGGCCTACAGTTCTATAGAGTATACGTGAAACGTTGTTGGTCGTAGATTTCCAGACTACAGTTTTAAATATTAAATTTCTGAATGGAAAGAGTATAGGAAACATTGCAGTATAGATTATTTATTATTGAGATGAATTATTGCTATCAATAACTGAAAGTGAAACATTGTTTTGATTGCATTAATTCTTAAATTTAACATCTTCACGAAGTGATTTACAACTAAGACTGATTGAATATTAAATAGAACACACATTAGCATGCTCAGATTAAATCTGGTCACTATATTCATTGTATGTTTATGATATATTTTTTGAATATTAAACATTTGGATTGGTTATATTGAAAAGTACTTACTTGTATTGTAGCTCACTGAAGTGAAAGTATTGTCTATGTGGACCTTAACTATAAATAATCTTTAAAATAAGCCAAATACAAAAAAAAAATACTAGTTTCTAGTCTACTCCCTCATTCCATCTTCTCTGCCTCACAATTTTTTTATTTTTTTTTATTTCCTTTACTTTACAAAATTTATTATGAAACTAGCTATAGTAACTCACATCAGTAAAATTCCTCTCTCAATCGTTTGTGGTTGGGGATACTTGGTATGAATCATGTCTATTGCTTCTTTTATTTGCTTTCAATGTGTCTACTTGGTAAAAATGAGAAAGTAGTAGCTGTATCCCATCGACCATCTTGGATTTACCATCTCGTTAAAAAAAAAGTGCCCCCATTCTCCTTTTTTAAAAATATTAGGATAAGAAACTACTTTTTTTTTTTACTTGGAATTGGTACAAGTATATATGATTTAAATGTTTTTATTTATAATTTGAGACCTTAAGTTTTTTTTTTATATTTTGTTATGGAATTGTTTATTTAAGTTAGCAAACATTGACTTAATATTTAAGTGAACTTGTATAGTTGATGGTCTAGCTTCTAATGGCTAATGTCCATTGAAAGTGTTTTGCTGGAGATCAGCACAGAAAAGCTTATATTAATAAGTATTGATAGGTGAGCTGCTAAGGTAGGGACCACCTTGATATTGGGTGAGCAAGAAGGGTTTAGGGACCACCTCATTATTAAGATACTTGAAGTATTTAGGAACAATCTTAAATATTATAATATTTCTTACATTTCAATTAGTAAGACATATAGTACACTGACCTGTGTCATGCATAAAACTGTCACTTGTTATAAATCATCATTATTTTCAATCTTGTTTTGTAAAGTGCATAGAGGCTTTATGCATTATGCACTATATAAAAATAAATTTATATTTATTATATTTTATTGCATTATATTCTTCATATGAAATGTTAATTCTCTATTCTTATTATTCAATGCAATAGTTATGCTGATAAACAAATTCTATATCTATATTATATATTATATATAACTGTAATATAATCTGAATAGTTCTATACATTTCATCTCATTTTTATCTCAACTTCTTGCTAGAGAGCGATTAAAACTTACTGATGTTTATAACTTTTTTGTTGTAGATTTTGACACGAGACAGCGTTACTGTATCCGTTGATGCTGTTGTCTACTACCGTGTGCAGAATGCTACCATCTCAATTGCAAATGTTGAAAATGCCAACGCATCCACCAGACTGCTGGCCCAGACGACCCTGAGGAACGTGTTGGGAACTAAAAATTTGGCAGAAATCCTCTCAGATCGTGACAACATCAGTGCCTTCATGCAGGTTGGTACATACTCTTGCCATGTTCAAGATGGAACACTGTAATATATTACAAAACTAGGCTCTCTTAGTTTTAGGAGTGGACTTTTTTAGGTAAGATCAAAGCTGTCCAGTTTTACACACACCCCACACTCACACCCACACACCCAAATCCAGTATGAAACAACCTGGATATTTTTTTTTTTTGGTCAAAGTATGCAAGTCTTACACAGTAAATTTATTTAATCAAGATCATGCCTATGGTATGAAGAAATAACCACAGAAAACTCGACTGATGCAAATAATGTGATTCTGTTACATCTTCCTGAGCAAGGGTATTACGTATAATAAAAACATTTTATCACACGTTAAAGTAATATTATCCCAATGAGAATGTTATGGTTGTACATCTGAATGGGTGGCAAATATTATTATTATTTCCACAATTTGTTAAATATTGTAATTTATTCCAATGCAAAGGTAAAGTAAATTTTCATCTAGATCAAAATTATTGCAATGCAAAAACATGTCTTAAGAGGCTTTGTTGGGGATGGTGAAGAGGGTTAAATAATTTGAACCCAGTACCAGGCCCGAGCTTCACAACACAAGCGCACTGTCATTGCAATTCAATATCATATTCATGTTGGATATGTGATGGCATTAAAGACTTTCAAAAATGAAAAAAAGGATCAATCCTGAGTAACATTAATTTATTCTGCTTTTTATAGCAAGTCTTTTTTTTTTTACAAAACAAAACACTAATTTAAATGAACACTTTTAATTCAATGAACTATAAACGATAATAAATAATATTGTTGGTAATTTCTTTGGCTTGAATTTGAAAAAAAAAAAATGTTTATTTGGCGAGCATGTAAGTTAATTTAGTGCATTTATCAAGGCTATATGCATTTGAGCTTTACAAATCAATCTCATGTCTGAGGTGATTGATTGGTATTGTGACGCTGCCAGTTGTGTACTAACATCAAATTTAAAGTCCAGTTTGTTTCATGTTTATTATTAACTGACTATGTAGTACACATAATAACTAAACCTTTTTGAATATTGATTATTTATATTATTACACTATTACCATCATATCCTTCCTTTTATTGTTAAAGCTTCATCATTAACAGCACAAAATAAGCATTGCCAACGTCAATATTGTCACCACCGCTGCCTTTGTCAGCACTATTGCTGTAAATTGTCATTATCATTATCATCATCATCGCCATCATGTTAAAGCATCATCATTGGATTTATTTAATTTCAAATTATTACATATTTGTTTAAAATCCTCTATGTATCATCATTGTCATTATAATCATCACCACCCAACATCATCAATATCAATATCATCATCATAAATTTCATTGATTATTAATTACATTCACATGATAATGCAAGTTTACATCCATTGGGTATATTTCAATCAGAAATAGCGTTGAAGCTCTATATCTAATTAAGATATTAAAAGCAGGGTTTGAGTTAAATGAATATTGGACAGATTGATTGAATGAAAGCTCTTGGTGTTGAGTTCCTTTCCAAAAATCGATGCCTAGTAGAAAATAATATCGCTAGTGAACAAATAAGGTCACTAGGCAACAAAGGAAAACAGATGAAAACTTTACACAGTTCCCTTTTCTATTACATAATATTTTTTTAGTGAAGCTCTGCAGTGTGGTGGTCAAGGTGCTTATCTTCCAGTATCAAGGCCCTAGGTTCAAATCCTGGTACACATAGTCTACAATAGGATTTTTCTTAATTAAAAGCAACCCAACTTCCTAAAGCTAAGTTTCCATAAAATTGCTACAAACTATCGCTGACAGCTTTCTGTGACTCTGATTGGTCAGTCAAATCAGGGAGGCTTGCTTGTGTTGGATAACTACCCAGTGTAACAATTGCAGTCAAAATGCTATAGCAACAATGTAGCAATTTTATGGAGACTCAGCTCCATTTATGTAGCATAAATGCATTCTGTGATTTAGAAGTCTGCTTTCCGTTGGTATTGTATTATAATGAAATGAGTGCTTTCCATTTTCAGTAATTCGATAACAAGTCAATTTTACAAATTGAATACCCATTAATAATAATAAGAATATAATACTATTTGCAAGGACTGCCTTTGTGCTGAACTGAAAGGTGTCTTATAAGGTATAACTTATGATGGTGGCAAACAGTGCACAATCTCATAGGGTCAACCATCTGCTTCTGCCCTGGCACGATCCTGGGCCTCTACAGAAGATCTTATAAACACAAGATAGCCTTCTCCGCGATTTACGCGTAACAAATAGAAGCGTCGGTCAAGGTTCAAAAGTTTCCCATTTAGCAAGAGGGCGCCATTCATGCGCTATTACCGAAGAGAAAAAGTAATAAGTTTTGGAAGAGGGCGTCCTATCTGTTGCCATGGTTCTGAGATGGTTCCTGTTCTGCTGTTCACAGGCGGTGTACTGTATGGTCAGATCAGAGCGGTCAAGGGTCAAAAGTTTCCAATTTAGCAAGAGGGCGCCATTCATGCCTTATTACAGAATTTGCACGCGTAAATCCCGGAGAACGCTATCTTGTGTTTATAAGATCTTTGGCCTCTACATAGTTGGCATGAACAAAGCACGTTAAAAACAGTACCTACTGACAGAAATTTGAATAGTAAAACAAAAAAGAATTGATCCTGGATAAAAAAATGAACGGAATACAACATTAAAAGTATGCTGAGATAATGGAAATAATAAAATAGAATGGCTCTCATGATAATTTTAAGGATTGGCACTACAACTACAATTACTGTTATAGAAAAGTGTTTCTGTAAACATGAATTCTTGCCTGAAAGGCAACTATTTATATTCATCTGCATTTATATTCATGTTTGTTTTTTTTTATTAAATTGATAAATGCTGCTCATATACTACGACTTCTTCATATTCTCATTACTTCCTTCAATGCAATAAATTTTTATACCATCCTTAAGCC